GAATGAAGGTGAAGCCCATGGAAGGGTAATTGGGCGCATGAAGACAAAACTAGAGCGGGGACCAGGCATCTCCAACGGCTGGAGACTGGGAGTGCGCCAGCTGGCAGGTGGTCCCTGTAGGCGCCCAGACTAGGGAGCCCAGGAGCCGCCACGTGGAAGCGCCCGACCGTTGGGCCGTACGGGGCATTTAATGGTGTGCTGACGTGGGGCTGAATTCCAGGAGCCTGGTCGATACCCCGCCTAGTATAAATAGTGCACGGTAGGTAGCATTTACTCGGTTGGCTTCTCTCACTAAAAACTTCTCTCGGCACTTATCTCTCTAGATTGGGGACTGACTTGAGCGTTCGAGTGCTAACGGGCTTCTCCGAGCCCATTAGGCGCTTGTGGTGCAGGATCTAGGCGCCTCGAAGAGGTCCGCAGGAGGGAATCTCGGCGAGGTAGGGCGAGCGGTTACGTGGCACAAACAACACTCTTTCTCTCTTTCTTGCAAGTTTTAGCTAAAGAGAGAAAATACTCATGACTTGCAACAGTCAAACAACTACAAGAATTTCAACCACAACTCGCAAGAATATCAAAGGTAAGATAGCCTAACGGTAAAGCTGCGCGACAGTGAAGGTTTGGGAGTTGCAGATCCCAGGTTCGAATCCAATTGAGGCTCATTGGCTCGTTGGCGTCGAATTTGATTGCAAGTGACCCTCAAATTTTGTAAAACTCGTTGTCAGAAAGTGACACGTGGAGCTGAGGTTCTGGTAATAAAAAAAACTACAAATATTACAACCCTTTCATTACTTTGATGATCACAAAATATTGCTCTTGCTATCTGTATACGTGCTCTACCACGTGTACCTCCAGCCTTATTATTGTGGTATTGGTATAGTTTCTTACGACCCTCCATCTCTACCACGTCTATACCTCTAGCTCTTTTTATAGTTTCTTGCCAATTTCGCTATGGTGCACAAGGGGAAAACCTTGTGCACGAGCTCAAAGGTTTTCATTGGGCTATGTCGGTGAAGGGGAAAACGAGTGGCTGATAATTGTTGGCTTGAAAAAGGGCTTGGATGTAGGTTTTTGGCTGGCTTGGGTGACCCAAACCAAGGCTTTCCTTTGCCTTCTCCTTCAATTTTACTTTTCCCTCCTTTCTCTTTCCTTTTCGTAATCTCATAACAAAATTATTTTTTCTTCTTTCTTCTAATCTGACGACGAAGGCGACGACCAGCGACCAGGATGCCGTTGAGTCATCTCAGCATTCACCGGTGCCTGTCTCCTCTAATTTCTTGTGTCCGCATTTCGAGTCGATGCAACCGTGTAGAATTTGATGATGCGGAATTGAAACGAACACAGAACACAAGGGATTTTACGTGGTATCCTCGATCGATTGATTGATCGAGACTAATCCACGGTGAGCTCGGAACGAGCTCATGACTGATATTTTATTAGGGACTACATTGTGACGGCTTGCTTACGACATGACCGTAGCTAAGCTTTTATAGATATAGACTTAGGGTTAAAACCCTAATGACAACCAAGTTTCCTTCTTTTACTTGAACAAGGAAAACTAGGGACTTGTAGGACAAGGAATTAATTACTTTTTGACTAAGTAATTAATATCCTCAACACTCCCCCTCAAGCGAAGACATGAATGACAAGAATGTCGAGCTTGAAAAAGGAAATGTGACGAACAAGCATGACAAGCTTGAACAACATAACTCGAGGTTGATTTTGGAGACGACTGACTCTCTCCATTGAACAACCTGATGAAGACGGTTGACTGCGTCTTCTTGAACGAAGTGACGAGACGGTTGATTGCGTCTCTTGAACGACCTGACGGAGACGGTTGACTGCGCCTCTTGAATGACTTGACAGAGACGATTGACTACGTCTATCCGCATGATATGGTGGAGATGGTTGACTGCGTCTCCTGAACGACTTGACTCCCTATTCTCCCCCTCAAGCTGACGCATGAACGACGTGAATGCCCAGCTTGAAAGTAAAAATAGTGGAGGCTGAAAATTACCTGATTCTGAACATCAAGGGACGATCGCTTCTGTGATCGTGACTGCCTCGATTTATAACTTGAACTTCTTTGTTGACGAAAGTTGTGTCTCCCCAACACTAGCAATTGAAGGGACGACCACTGCAGGTCGCGATTGTCTTCAATGCCATGACTTCAATCGATGTTGGTGGAGATTTTCCTCTCTAAGTGACCTTGACCGGCCATAATGACAATTTGACTCCAGCTGTGGATAGAGTATGAATTCCACGGCACACCTCGTGGGCTGTAAACTTCGGAAGTATCCCTGAACTGAGTGTTGATGGTGAGGATACTAGTCACAATAAACAAGCTGGACAAAGCACCTGTGACTACGTGTGCAATAAATAATGGAATCAATGAAGGAATAGGTCACCAAAAGCAAACAAACTCTATGCTGCCAAATTGTGACTGCTCGCCGGAACGATGACAAGTAAATTATGGTGACCCACCAACCGGTCTTCACTCCCCAAGTCGTCCTCGTCAAAGTGCTCACATCGGCGCCCTCGTCAGGTTGATTGAAATCCAACGGCCGTAGAAAATCGTCGGGCGGTGACTTCTTGACAAAACCTGCCTCTTGATTTTCACAAGCTGAACGAGAGTCACCCCCACGGTTGTGATTTGATTGAGACGCTCTCGGCGCCTGATCTGATTTTGTTTGAGCTTGGCCTTCCTGTTGCCAACGACGAGCAAGACTTCGGACGAGGACAGCGCCAATCGAGACGAAGAAGAACAGACCGAGCAGTAGGGAACTCATGATCGCCATGGATGGCAGCGGGGCTGCGGGCGATGGATTTGCCTTGAACGGCAACTGCGCGATGAGAAACAAATCAGAACTGGCAGCGGCAGTGCTGCGATGACTCCAGCTCTGTTGTGGTTGACGATGAGGCTAGTAAAGAGCCGCTATGGGCAATTCCGGAGACGCGACTGCCACGATCTCGTTAGACTGAAGACCTGGGACACAGCGGCGGTTACCACCTACGAGAAAAAGAACCACAATTTTTCACCGGGAGTTCAGCGGTGTCGGTAGGATTGACGACTGCTGAAGGATGCCGAGGGCGCTGATGGCATGGACAGCGACCGAGACAGAATTGGAGGCCGGAATGAACCTCTGCTCTCCTAATGAAAACAACCATGAATGGCTTGCGATTGATGACTCACGACGGAATGGACTTCGCCTAGGTCGACTATGCTGAGCGGTATAACATCGCTGATGAACAAAACAGGCCAGCGGGATGACCATCGCTAGTGCGCGGAAGACTAGCTGAATCTACAGCTCTGATACCATGTAGAATTTGATGATGCGGAAATACGAAAGAACACAGAACACAAGATTTTACGTGGTATCCTCGATCTTGATTGATCGAGACTAATCCACGGTGAGCTCGTTCCAAGCTCACCGTGGATTAGTCTCGATCAATCAAGATCGAGGATACCACGTAAAATCTTGTGTTCTGTGTTCTTTCGTATTTCCGCATCATCAAATTCTACAACCGTGCTACTGGAAGGAGATCATTCAATTCCACCAAGCACCTGCTCCCATATATGTCATCCTTTGCGAGGCTTGGAAACGAGCAACAAGGGAGGATACAAGGATACAGTGCTTGTAGGAGATTCGGTTTACTAATCTCATATTCAACAAGGGTGGAATTGAATATGAGATTACCTCATATTGAATGTATGTTGAGTTGAAACTAAATATGAGTTTAGATAGTATTGAATATGATTGCAACTTATATATGTTAATTTGACTATGAATCAACCTAATATTGAATATGACACTGAACATATGAGTGTAAACTCATTCTCTTCTCTGGTACTAGTTTAATTAATATTTACTCCCACATAGAGTAACATTCAGTACGAGGTTATCTCACATTCAACGTTTACCCAACAAATATTCAAGTCAAATGATCAATCATCTTCGGTACAAGTTCAACTATTAATATCATCAGGTAAACTAATATGCAATACCAAGTTAATTGATATTCACTATTTACTCAACACATATTCAAGTCAATTAAATCAATTATCATCTTCGATACTAGTTCAATTAGTATTTCATGAGGTCTCAAGCGATCTGTACAGACTACTGAGTCCTTCAATACCAACAAATATTCTACAGAAATGACAAGTGAAGGAGAACGACGGGGCAACAACGACAAGGAAGCGATTGAGGTCGAGACTCATGAGGCACGATTGGCGATTGAAGGAGGGGTTGGATGCGAGGCTTTGAGGATAGCAGAGGGATGAGGATGGCAAGGACGACAGTAATTCTTCTCGTCTGGAGCTTTAATGGAGTCATGGAGGGGGTAGGGAAGGAAGAGGATTTAGTTGGAAAAGGAGTCGGGGAGCTGTTACGCGATAACTGATGCATTTATCGGTTTAGAACCGAAAACCACAAGTCAGTCGTAACACCAAAATGACATAACTGTCGCAACCAACTGTGGCAACCAACCACATCTTCTAAATAATAACGGTTGACAGACTAAATGCAATTTTTTTGTTCGATTTTGCGGTTAGCTAGCCAACTAACCGGCAACCGTTTAACAGCCCTCTCCCTTAGAGCATCTCCATCAATGCAATTGCAAATGAAATTGCATTTGTGTTTTTTTATTGTCAACTCAAATTTTTTGCAATCCACATCACGTTCATTTCATTCATCTACATCAATGCAATTAACTTGCAATTGCAAATGTAATTAAAAATTATGTTTAAGCTATAGAAAATTAAGTAAAAGAGAAAAGAAAATAATATAAAATAAAAAATCCCCATTTTTTAGGCTTTTTTTTACTTGCATATGGAATTGCATTTGTTGCAAGCTTGCAAATATGCAATTGGTAGCCACATCAATGCAATTTGTTTTGCAATTGCAAACACCTATACCATGTCATTTTGAAATTCAAAATGCAATACCAATGTGGATGCTCTTAGTCCCGATCTCCATGCTCTTAAATTTGCCAAGAGTGAAAAAAAATATATTAATACTTAGATTTTGATTCCCAAACTATATCTTCTTTACACACAGCCCCCATAATTTCCCACCAGGATAACCCCAACCATCTTAACTACTCCCAAGTCCTACCACCACTACAGCTACCACCACTCTCTTATATCTGATTACAATTACATAGCCCAAATCCTATCCCCTAATTTCATCAGAACGACGGACAAACAAACAAACAAAACATCATCATCGGAACGTCACTAAAAACTGAAAACCCGTCGCCTTTGGTGGTGGTTTTCCCTTTCCCCTAGGTTTTTGCGAACTTCGATGTTTTCTTCTTAGTCTTAGGTCATCAATCATTCTTCCCTCCACCCTTCCGTCAGCCAAAAACTGCGCCGCAAGAGAGAGCCATTAGGACGAAGGCAGCTTGTTCTTCTTCCGCCAGCTTCCTTCTCCTCCTCTGGCACCTCTGTTTCTTCACTATCACCTCCGACGGCGTCTGCTGCGGCGGCAGGGATCTTCGGACCATCATACCTCCTCCCTTGCCGGAATACACCACTCTGACCTTCACCGGGCCGGCGGCAGAGATACTGCTGCCGCTGCTGTTACTGCGGGCACCGACGGCAACGGAGGAGGAAGATTTGGAGGTGTCGGTTGTGGTGGTCGACTCGCTTGTACTCGCGGCGGCGGAGGATGAAGTGGCCATCTGCGGCGGTGTGGCTCGTTTCTTCGCGACGGGGTTTTCCACTGCAGCAGCTCTCCTCCGCTTCCGGAATCTGATTCCACAAGCGTTGCACAGCGACTGCGGAGATCAGGAAAGAAATCGGGCAGAGTTCGTCAGAATTGGAGGGAAAACGCTACCAAACATCCAAAGATTGCGCCAAAATTAGGGGAAATCGAAAGGGAGCAGTAGAAAACAAAATTACCCCCAACCCAGTGGATTAAACCCAAACCCCTAATTAGCCCAGATCAGAAATTTTGATTCCGAATCAGAAGGCAAGAAATCGGTTAAAGAGTTAAAACCCATATAGAATAGCAGAAAAATTCCGGGGAAAAACTCCATAATCAATCGATCATCAGTAGCAAAATACAACAGATCCACAAATCTAACTCATATACTAAAGAAACAGAGCAGGGCGGCGGACCTTTGGGCCGGCGGGTCCGCTTCTCCACAACGGAGTCCTTGTAGTCTTACAGTCGGAGCAAACCTTCTTCTCCCCACGGTCTTCCTCAACGCCGCCCCCTAATTTCTGACCACGAGAGAAAACCCAACTAGATCAGATCAGCAGAGGAAGAGCTAAAAAAGAAACAAGAGCAAATGGGGAAGAAACACAGAGCAAAGTCATGGGGGAAAAAAAACTTCGAGATAGGTATTTACCTCCTTCTCCGTGTCGGGATCCATAGCACAGCACGAATTCTCTCTCTCTGAAGACGATCTCGTGATTACTTGCATGCAGGTGATCGTGTGAAACAGAGAGAACAGAAGAAGGCAAAGAGCAAAAACAGAGTTTGGAGAGGTAGGAGGCGGGAAGAAAAATGGCTATGGCGACAGAGCAAGAGGAATTAGCAGAGGTGAGATGAACACCGACAACAGAGGATGTCTCTCTCTGTCTGCGAGTCTGCCACACTCCGGTCCTTTTTTAGGTTGGTGGGTTACTTCTGGCGGCAGAGGGAATTTTTTTTTTTTTTTGTAGTAAGGCGCGCGGTGGAGGGGATAAGGCAGCAAATAAACCCTAGCGATTCGGGGTTTTGGGGAAAGGGAGGGGCAGGTTTGTGAAAATGACGAAAGCGCCCCCATGGGGTTTTAGGTGACATAAGCACCCGCCAAGTTTTGGAGCTGGGCGCTTGCCACGTGGCCTCGCTGAATGATTATTTGTCATCCTGTTGGCTAATTCACTGCTGTACATCCCTGTTTTAATCCGGTACATGTAGGGATGGCAACAAAAGCCGAACCCACGGGTACCCACCCGACCCAACCCGATCAACGCGGGTAAAATCCATGTTGACGGGTTTTGGGCCGGGTTTGGGTTTTAACCCGTTCACTATTCACTGGTTTGGGTTGGGTTTGGGTTTAGGTAAACCCGGCCCGTGGGTACCCGCCCACTCATATAATTAATTTTTTCGATATATTAAATATTCTAAACAACTAACCTTATTTATGTTTGTGGAGACATGTCTAATTTTTTCTTTTTAATTGTGTAGAATGAAGTTGATGTTATGGAGTGGAGAGTAAAGAAACTTAATCGAAAGGAAGAAGCTTTCAATTAAACATGTTATTTATAGATAATTTGTGATTTGCTTCAATTTTCTTGAGTTTTCTATATTGGTGTTGAACAATTTGTATAGTTAATTTGTGATTTGCTTGAATTTTCTAGAATTGTGTTTTATATATGGATAATTTGTATTGAGAGATTGATATTTGACTTTAATTTTGATAAGAACTTGTAATTGTAAATTTTTTACGACAAAACCCGTGGGTACCCATGAACCCGCGGATACCCAACGGGTTGGGTTGGGTTTGAGTTTTTCACCCAGTGGGTTTTACCCCGGGTTTTTTTCAAAGATAAACCCATGGGTTTGGGTTTGGGTTTGGCAAAACCCGACCCAACCCGACCCATTGCCATCCCTAGGTACATGCACTTGGTTCCGCACTCCGCTTTCCTATTCTTTATTTTTTTTTTCTGCGGTAAATTGCAGGTTGGTTAATTTTGTCACTATGAAAAAAAAATTCAGCCAACTTCGTCATCAAAATTACGCGCTTACGTCATCTTGGTCACTCCCAACTAGGGCTGGCATTTCGGTTTCCGGTTAGCGGGTAACCGTCGGTTTTGACCGAAAACCGGCCGGTTACCAGCTAATCGAAAACCGACCGGTTATCGTGACGGTCGGTGGTCGGATGGGGAAAGGAAGGGGTTGGTTGACCGAGTAACCGATGGTGGTTAACCGCGGTTATCCGACTAACCGGACCTAACCGAGACCCACTTAACCTTCCCAATATCCTGTCCAGATTCATTCATCGCCATTCTCACATCACATCTGCAAAGTTTCCCAAATCCAGGAGGAGGAGGAGGAGGAAGAAGAAGAAGAAGAAGAAGAAGAAAGAAGAAGAAACTCACCCCGCCTCCACCCTCCTGCCGCCTCCGCATTCCATCGCCGACCGCCGAAGAAGAAGAAGAAGCCTGCCGCCTCCACCCTCCCAAACTCACCCTGCCGCCTCCACCCTCCCATCGACCCCGCGTTCCACCAACGACCGCCGTCTCCCAGCGACGCGCGGCGGCGTTCCACCATCCCCCAGCGACCCCCTCGACGGCTCGACCCCGGCGACACCCCTCGCGTTCGCGTCGAGATCTCCCCCACACTGCCAAACCTCCTTCCCCGCCTGGACCTCCCTCCTCGCCGGCGCCGGTATCCCGGCCGCCAAGAGCCCGAGGCCTCTTCCGCCTTCTCCCTCCCCCTCCCTGACCTCCATCGCCGACGCCAATATCCCAGCCGAGCCTAGCGAGTCGCCGCCGCCCTTCAATTAGATGAGATTGCATAGTTTGCGGTTAGGGTTAGGGATAGGGATTTGGGGATGGAGATTGGGGAAATGGGTTTGGGCGAGGAAGCTGGGGATGAATGGCCTCTGTTTTGGTTTTTGAATGTTGATGGTTGAGAATTGGGGATGAATGGCGGAACCGAAACGGGGATGAATTGGAGATGAATGGTTGAGAATCAGGGCGGTTCCCGGTCGGTTAGGCCATTGAACCGAATCGCCCATCAATCTGTCGGTTGCCCCGGTTTAACCGGGCCTAAAACGAAAACCGTCTGGTCGGTTTGCGGCTAACCGGGGCTCTGGGGTCGGTCGGTTGACGGTGGCTTCTGGTCAGGTCTCGATTTAACCGAAAATCGAGAATTCGGTTTTCGGTTAAACCGAAACCGACCGGTTGCCAGCCCTACTCCCAACAGTGACAATGGGATAGTGAAGGACGAGTACCTCAATACGGCAATACCTATACCCGCTTGCATCAAGCGTGGGTCAGAGAAGGTAAAACCCAAGCATGTACGGGTGGGTCGATCGAATCTTACATGTTATTTGAAAAAAATAAACACAAATTTACTTCTTAGCCAAAACGAAAGAAAAACACTTTATGAATGAAAAGTAGTGATAATATTATGGGTTATTAATCCTAACTACAGTATAACATGTTTAAATTAATAATCGATAAATTAATAATCTAGAATAAATTAATAATTTATCCGATCCCGACTTGGACTAGTCTAAAAAACTGAGCAAATTTAATAAAATAATAATTTTTGAGAACCAACCTACAAAAATACATGTATTTATATTCTATAAAATAATAACTGTAAAAACACAATTCATCTAGAAATTTATAATATAGGCAGGATAATCTTGAAAAATATGAATATATAATTGTTTGTTTATTCTTGAAGTTCAAGTTTAATAGAAGTTTATCATCAACTTTTCTCATTGCACTCAAAGTCTTCGATGTTGTCTTCTCTAATTGCATCAAGTATTTTTCAAGAGTCGATGCGACTCTAAGTGTTTCTTTTCGCGTGACCGGTCCCAAAAATATTGATTCGTCATTTCTTTCATCCTCAATTGAACCCCCCGATTGGAAGAATCCATATTTTTTTCTATTAATTTTAATAATATGAATACGTAGAATGCAATAAGTTATCATACAAACTTGAAATGTTTGTAGAATGCAATAAGGGGTTGTTTGCTTCAAGGATTTGGTACATGGATTTGGTACCAAAAAACCAACTATCAAGGATTTAGGTACAATCCGTTGTTTGTTTGCACCTTTTTTGGAGACAAAATCCGTGGGGCCCACGGATTTTAAGGGTCCAAATCCGTGGACCCCACGGACTTATAAATCCCACATGTTGATGTGGGATTTGGAATATGACATAAATCCTTGATGAGATTTTACCCATACATCCTCATGCACTTTTAATATTCCAAGGTTGCCCTCAAATTTAACTATTATACATTATAATTAACAATAAATGAATAATATAAACGTTCAATTAATGTGCAAACATGAGTTAGATTTTTTATATCATTTCTTGTGTTCTAGTTTTCTTTGACCTTTTCATGGAACGTGTAATTTTTTGTTCTCCCGATTCTAATATAAGTTGTTATATGTCACTTTTGAAAAGGAGGACAAAGAATTGGTAATTGATTATGTTACGCTACAAGTTAAAACGGAATTTTCTCGTTTATTATTATTGTCCATGTGGCAACATTATGCTTATTAGTATGTATTGTCCTTGTTTTGTGTACATATTATAAACATGTCAAACATATAGAAAATGATAGTAAGGTAATTTTGAAGTTTTGTCCTTATTTAGTGTACATATCATAAACATATCAAACATATAGAAAAGGGCAGTAATGTAATTTTTGACTTTAAGTAGTAAATCTCACACCTTTAAATCTATGATAAAAACATCCCAACAAACAAAGAATTGTTACAAATCCATGATGCCTCAAATCCTTGATAAATCCTTAGGTTTTTAAATTACAAAACCCTCATTTTTAAATCCATGAAGCAAACGACCACTAAGTTATCATACAAACTTGAAATGTTTGAAAAATACGATGAAACGTACATTAAAAGAAAAATCTCTTTAAATTAATAGTTATTAATTTATGGAGATAATACTATAGTTGAAAGAAGATCACGTTTATTAACTAATTATTATTAAAAAAAATATGAATAGATATTATAAATTTTTCCTATATACAATGAGCCAAGAATGAGACAAGTTCAAATAGCTGCCCCATCACGGAATAGCAAGTTTAAATAGTCATCCCTACTCTCCGTCTAGTTATGTCATCCTCGTAATTGCATTCAGAGAATAGAAATCATTACATTGACTGCAAACAAGTAAAATTTTGGCCTCTGCTTAAACTAGTCTCAATATGTGGTATATAGAACATATGCATCCGTTTCCATGACTTGTACTATATAACAGAAATTAATCAATCGTATTTTGGTCACTGTAGACCAGCCAATACGATAACGAAAATACCGACTATCCGTAATCCACGCACACATTACAATCTGTTTAAGACAGTACCAGTAAGTTCCAAACAAGACCCTCAAGTGCTCAACAGAAATAACCTCCTCAACAAGTAAGACTTTCAGCATTACAACTTTCTTTTCTGCATTTCAAATGACCAAAATCCATTACACTTTCATTACATCTCGACTTCACCGTAAAAGGGTGGATCAACTCGCACAAGACCGAAGCTATATCATTCAAAAGCAAGATAAAAACGACCAAAAAAACCAGTAGACTCATCCTTGGGTATTTGCCATCATAGCTACAAAAGACTCAATCTTAAGGAGGGGGGAGGATTCTGCGAGTTTCAAAATCAACAACGTGGGGTAGAGATGAATATGACCCCAAACTGATTGTGGGAAAGCTATAAGACATTCCGGAGATAGACTCGATGACTCGACGACCATGATAGTGTCTTATGAAAGAGGTCCAGAATCTAGACTCTGGGTTACTCGGACATTTACCGCTATGCAGCACTCTGCATGCTCAGGACCCCGAACCAAACCCAGCTCCTGTTAGACTTGACGACACAGACGGGTCAACTTGACCAAGACGCACAAAACCCTGACCCAAGACCCGACCTGACCAGACATGACCTGACCTTGACAAAGCGTTCCCGAGACTGATGGAAGCCAGCTGACCAATCTGAGAAAGGAAAAGAAGGGGGGAAAAAAAACAGAACCTGGTTAGCTCATTGACAGGGGAGGTGTGCATGATTCAGGTATACACCACGCAGACTTGGACCAAATTGACATTTGGCATCGAAACATAGTTCGATTCTACTTCAATTCTACAGATCATCTGAAAAATAAACAGAAAGGACCCAATACAGCAAGGGGTTGACTATGGTCCTCATTTTCTGTTTTTTTTCCATCCGATCCAATTATAGACTGGACCAAGAACGTAGGCCCTTGCTCATAGATAGATGCTCCAAAACGAAAATTCTAAGCAGATTTCTCTTATTTCAAGGTTGAAGAGTAATAAAGTCTTACATTTAGCTGAAGTTGAATCCACCAGGAGGAACTGCAGGGTCAGTGCCACCAAACTGGAAACCAGATTGAGCAGCAGTATCACCAGGTGGCATCGTCTCGTCTTCCTCCTCCATCCAATAAGTCTCAAGAATTCTGACAGCCTTCTCATAAATTTCAGTGTTATCATGAGACTGCAAGTTCTCAATTTTCTCCAAACCTTCGGCATCATCAATCATCTGGGCATACTGATTTACACCACCAGTGTTGCCAAGATTCTTGTCGGCTTCTCCAACCTTCAAGATGTTCTCGAGGCCTTCAAGGCATACTGTTACGATTCTCGGGTCAGGACAGATGAGAAGGTCACACAATGGCTTGATGCAACCTTGGCTAACAAGGTACCTATATTCAAACAAGGAACAAGCGAATAAGCAATGCATCATTAAAGCAAAAGATGTTTGTTTGTTATGATATTTGTTAGTTATGGTGTTAGACAGAGTGATCTATCATTAAGCTGAATCAAACACACCAGGAAATCGTTCTAAAATGGGAAGAAAGACCAGCATCAACTCCTTACTTGATTTGGTCATGGGTACCACCAGAGGTTGCATTAGAGATTGCCCATGCAGCTTCCTTCTTGATATCGAATTCGGCATTATGCAAAAGATGGACTAATGGGCCGATGATATTAGCCTCAATTACACACTGCAAGATAAGAAGAAAAAGGCATCAAATGTAAGTCCAACATCCAAAAATAATCATAAATCGATTGCTAGGGAAAAATTAAAAGAAACATACCTGAATCTGCTCCTTGTTACCAGCAGTTATGTTTGATATAGTCCAGCAAGCTTCTTTCTTGATGCTTTTCTTAAAGGTGTTTGTCAGCAAGTTGAGAAGACAAGGCAGTGCTTGATGATTGATAATACACTGTCAATGGTCGAGGGGAAGGGATAAGAACTCACAGAGAAAATATAGTCAACATCCAAAATATTATCAAACATCCCTAAAAGCAAGAATCCTAATCAAAAGTTCAATCACATCACCCTAACTTCAGCAGCCAATCAGTTCAACCACATATAACTTGCAGTACCTGAGTTTGCATATCATCACCAGTGACAATGTTTCCAACCGTCCGAAGTGCAGGAATGAGAACAGAAGGAGAAAGGTGCCTAGAGGAAATAGTTGTGAGCTGTTTAGCAAGTTCCCAAGCAATAATCAAAATATAAAAGTTGTGAATTCCTTCTGGATACTAATATAAAATAATAATAATTGGGAAGTGCAGGAATGAGAACAGGAGAACGGTGTCTGGAGGAAATAGTTGTAAGCTGTTTAGCTGGTTCTCAAGCAATAATCAAAATATAAAAGTTGTGAATTCCCTATGGATACTAATATAATAAAGGACATGGATAAGAAGCTAGTACTCACAGCAAGAGCTCAACCAGGCGAGGGCACACACCAGCTTCAATGACAGCTTGAATTTTATCATTGGTACCATCAGATAGATATGACAGTGCCCAACAGGCATCAGTCAACACTTCTTCGTCATTAGAATGAATCAGCCGTGTAAGGGCTGGGAGAGCTGGCTTAACCTGTTGCATTAAACAAATAGAGTAAAAAAACAAAGAGGACAGACAACAAGCCCATAAGTCCTGATAAACATATTACAGCATACAACTTCCCCAATCCATGACACAGTATTCATGAGCATAATCAACCATCTATAACAGGTGTTTAGCAATATTTTATCACCAATCTAAACAAAGAGAAAAGGTTCAACAAACCTGGTCGAACGGAGGCTGTGGCTTCCCACGACAGAAGTTCGACAATGTCCATGTAGCATTTCTAAGCATCGATAATTTTGCATGCTCATTAAGCTGAGCGAGCAGAGGAAGCAAAGCTCCATTGCCAAGCACAAGATCACGGCATCTTGGAGAATCCCCGGCCACATTTCCTAAAGCCCATACAGCCTGATGATAAGAGGAGGAAATGAGAAACTAGAGAGACAAAACTCCAAAATGACCGCAGCAGATTAAAAAAGTTCTCACACATTTACCTGCTCACGGACATCATCACTTGGTGAACCCAGCAGCTTTACAAATATGGGAACAGCCCCATGATCAATCACAACTTTAGTGTTCTCGGATGTTCCAGAAGCAATATTTGTAAGTGCCCAAGCTGCTTCAAACTACAAGAAATTTCAACTAATTGGATTCGAAAAAATAACATTTACTTCCAAGAAAAAAGCACAAACAAGGTCGGGCTGCCTACAAACCTGAAGCTGGGGAAAGTCCTCCCTCATAAGAAACTCAACAAAGCGTGGAACAACTCCAGCTTGTATAACTTCTTCAATCGGAGGGCTCCGCTCTGCCAGTGAATCAAAGGGTAGACACAATCTCAGCAATGAATCGAGAAACAAAATGTACAATAGAAAAACATTATGCAGGGCCAAAAGACTCACCAATAGAGAGCAACTTTCTGAACTGTGTTGTTGCCTCAAGCTGCAAATTGCCATCATCAGACCAAACACCAGTGACCATCGAAGGCAGATGTTCCAACTGCATTCAAACAACTCGATTAAGTAAAACAGCAACAGATAAACTAGTCAATAGGTCACATCTTAGCTAAACTCCCCAAGGGCAATCAACCAGCTTGATTGGGAACCCCTAAACATCCCAATCAAATTACACGGATAAAACAGTGAATCAATAATACCACAGCTAAATTCCGCAAGGCCATTTCAATCACGCATCAATCGAACAAAGAAACCAACCAGATTGATTCGAAACCCTAGCTCGAACTAACCAAACCCCAAGAATCCCAACGAAATTACAATCGGAACTTCCTTATCAACCCACCAAAACTTAAACCACCAGCAAGTAACAATTAGCGAGAGGTAATCAGTGCGTCTCATGTATCTCCATCAAGAAACAGAAATTCCACCGAACAGGGGAAAAAAAATGAAGAGAGAAGAGCAACAAAGCAAACCTTCTTCTCGACAGTGGTGGAGTGCATCGAGGCAGGCATGGGCTGAGCCGCAAGTCCCTCGCGTCGCTTCTTCTGGAGGCTCTCCTCCCTCCGATTCTTCCGGATCTCAACCATGTTATCCTCCCTCCGCCGCCGCCCTTCTTCCGCGTCGACGGCGACCTTGTACCTGTTCTTGCGGACCTCGGTCCTCGCGTTGGGCCTCAACGACATCGTGATACAAAATTGGAGTACGGCTCCGACCGCCGAGGCAAACAAACACCACCACCACTACCCGGAGATCGAAGCGAAATTAGGGTTTTGCAGAGATCGACTTCGCTTCGATTTCGTCAATTTTGCAGGTTTTCTTCCGAGAAGTAACTCGCTCACAGAAAAATGAGAGAAATAAAGGGGGAAGAAAGAGTGGACAGTGAGGGAGCAAAAAATTTATATACGGAGCGGAGGGAGAGTGTAAATGTGGTCATGGATCGGGCTATTATTACGAGATATGCCACTCGGAAATTTGAATTTCGAAGGGTGAGGGGAAAAGTATATAAAAGGGAGAGAGAGAAAAAATGTGACTTTGCTCTGACCTGCAGCGGGCCCCAGCGGGCAGCGAGACAGTTTCCACTTTCATTTCATCTTTCACAACTGAACCAACGGCGTCGTAATATCTGGGATTTTCTTGCGGAGTAATTATCGTTGTACTTTTGGGTTCGTTTGGTTTTGGTGATTGTTTGATAGGGATAGTTACAATGCATGTATTGTTTACAATGTATTGTTTTTTTTTTTTTTTTTGAATTTTTGCACAAATAATACATGCATTGTTTGCTTGATTTGACACAAACTATCACTCATTTTGAGTGATAGTTAAATCTCAAGTTTTTGTGAGATTATTGAGATTGTTTGGTGGAGATTGTTGGGTTATTTTTTCTTCCAACTATGTCCCTACCTTTTTCATGTGTGTTACTTTTTTATATTAAAAGCAAAGGGTAAAAGAGACATATCATCCAAAAAGTAATATAACTCGTCTAAATACTACAAGTTTACAATAACTATCACACCCCAAAAAAAATGATGTAAACTACAATACACCAATTTTCTCATATACATGCATATTAGTATACATGCATTGATGACAATCCATCAATTTAACTATCACCAAAATCAAATGACCCCTTTATTTTAACTTCAATCATTTTCAATGTCGTAGTTTTTGGGCCCCATAGAAGGAGATCGTCCCAAATCCATCAAGTAGGAGATGAAATAACAAAGGGTTGGTTTGCTTCGTAGATTTGAAAAATGAAGATTTTGGTAAAATTTGGATTTTGTAAAACTATGGATATATGAGGGTTTTGGGTTCATCATGGTCCATGGACTTGAAAAATATCATGCTTTGTTTCATAGATTTCATGATGGAATTGGTTAATTAAATTTGTTTCATAGATTTCATGTATGTATGTATGTATGATTTCGTCAAAAAAAATTGTATGTATGAAGTGAAATTTACCTTTATTGGCCTCATTGATATGAGAAGAGAAATAGGAGGGGTAGTTTGGTCTTAAATGATGGACTTCAAAGTTCATGATCAATTCTCACCTAAATAGGTGGAACTTTCAAGTCTGTGGGGTCCACGGATTGGAACCCTTAAAGTCCGTGAGACTCACAGATTTGTTACCCCTAAATGCATCTAGCAAACAATGGATTTTGGACAAAGTCCATATTGGATCCAAATCCCTCACCAAATCCATCAAGCAAACAAGCCCAAAAGCAAATACCAAAGGTAAGATAGGCTAACGATAAACCTGCTGCGATAGTGAAGGTCTGGGAGTTGCAGATCCCAGGTTTGAATTCAAGCGAGACTCGTTGGTGTTCCCGGAGGTACAAGGCTGATAGAGGCGAAGCCCCGTTGGCGTCGAATTGATTGGAGGTGGCCCCCAGGTTTAGTAGACCCCGCTGTCACAAAGTGGCACGTAGGGCTAAGGTTCCTGGGTATAAAAAAAAGCAAATAGGGATGGTACTCCGCTACCGATTTAACCGCTAATTGATAAAATAATTGCTAGTTAATAGTTAAATCGAAAGTCAATAATGATATCAGTGTTCGGTTAGCATATAACTAGTTAATAACATATCTACACTATCATTTATAGTGTAAACATAAAACTACACCATCCATTTAAGAATTTTTGCTCCTAGGGTAATTTGCGGGAGCTGATGTGGCGGGTCATTTAGGCGGGCGCTTTTTCTCTCCCTTTTGGAATTGCCATTAGACCTCGCAAATTAGGTCTCGACTAGGGATGACAACAAAACCCGAACCCACGGGTACCCACCCGACCCAACCCGGTCAACACGGGTAAAATCTGCGTTGACGGGTTTAAGGCAGGGTTTGGGTTTAAACTCGTTCACTATTCACCGGGTTGGATTTGGGTTTAGGTAAACCCGTCCCATGGGTACCCGCCAACACTCATATAATTAATTTTTTCGATATATTTAATATTCAAAACAACTAAACTTATTTATGTTTGTGAAGAAATGTCTAATTTTTTCTTTCTAATTGTGTAAAATGAAGTTGATGTTATTGAGTGGAGAGTGAAGAAACTTAATTGAAAGGAAGAAGCTTTCAATTAATCATGTTATTTATGGATAATTTGTGATTTGCTTTAATTTTCTTGAGTTTTCTAGATTGGTGTTGAACAATTTGTATAGTTAATTTGTGATTTGCTTGAATTTTCTAGAATGATATTTTATATGTGGATAATTTGTATTGAGAGATTGAGATTTGACTTTAATTTTGGTAGGTACTTATTATTGTAAATTTTTTACGACAAAAACCCGTGGGTACCCATGAACCCGCGGATACCCAGTGGGTTGGGTTGGGTTTGAGCTTTTTGAACTCAGTGAGTTTTACCCAGGATTTTTTTCACGGATAAACCCATGAGTTTAAATTTGTCAAAACCCGACCCATTGCCGTCCCTAGTCCCGACCTCTTGACCCGACCCGAATCCGCCCAAAAAAATAGAAGTTTTTATCATCCGAAACCCGAATGACTCGAACCCGATTAAGCCCTGATTTTTTTAGTTGGATTGGGTGGGTTAGCAAGTCTATCAGTTAAACCCGTTCCATTTCACATGTCACTCCTAAAATTATAAAATCACTCATAAATTGGTGAGATGTTTAAACACATTCACAAGGATTTGAAAGACATGTTTGGAGTTTAATGATAATCAAATATCATGTGTTCCTTGTAGTAGTATTACTCTCACGCCAAGGGTGGATCAACCCGGGATAAAGATCTTGTCGAAGAGGATCGAGAGGACGCTCGAGGGTGAGATCCTGCCACTTAATGTACCTACAGTCCATATTACATAACATACATGAGAATAAAAGTATATTATTTATAAAAATTTAATTCAATTCACTCTTCTTACCTACTTAACCTAGGAGAATAAAATGATTAATCCTGCTTTTATGTGAGAATTGAAGAAGGGAAGAAAGCAGGGAGAATGAGAATAGCAGTGTTGTGAAGATCGACCCGAGCCGGTCGGTCGGACCGGTAAAATCGGGACCCGAACGCTAGTTCGGGTCGAAACACTCTAAAAGTCGGAGCGGTCAGAAAGGGCGGTTTTTGAACGGTCGAAATGGTTAACCATTCGAACCGCTCGAACCGCCCGACCGATTTTTTATTTCTGACCGTCTGGAACTCTCGATCTGCATCTCAGGATTCTTCGCTTTCGCCTCCTTTGAGACTCCGACCACCAAACCATCGACGCCGGCAGCGAACCACACCAACACGACAACAAGCTCCCCCTCTCAGCCAATATCTGTGGTCGCAAGCAGAGAAGACGCGCCGCCGGCCGATCTCTATCCTACATCGTCGTCGTTTTCACCGTTCTTCAAGAGTGAGAGAGGGAGATCTAGAGTTTGAGAGACGAACCAAAGGGTGATGAAAGTCGATCTTTTATAGGGAAGGATTAGAAGAATCCAATACTAGAGCATCAATTCGCATCAATTCGATGAAAAGCAAAAAGTGAAATTATTTTTGGATTTGTTTTCATTCTTGTTTTGTCCAGGAAGAGGGAGGAAGAAAATGAAAAATTGAGAGAGATGGGGGTGATTGGCGCTGCCGCTGGGGGTGGGGAGTAGGGTTTTTACTTACCGTAGTTAATTTGTTATATATAATGTAAAATTGTTAAAGTGGTACTTGTAATGTAAATTTTAGTTTAGTCATTAAATTATTAATTTATTATCTTACGTGTCTTTTACTTATAGTGTTATTGTTTATAAGATATCGGTTCTCTAACGGTTTTTTAACGGTCTAATATCGATCGGACCACTAAAGTGCGAGTTGTTCATATTACCGGGTCATGCTCCGGTTCGGTTCTAACAACATTGGAATAGAGAGAGATGTAGGGAGGAATAGAAATAGTGGGGGGGGGGGGAGATTATATTGATAAGAAGATTGTATGTTTCATTCAGGGAAGCTCTAAGCAAGGGAGGAAGATTGATTTGATCAATTGGGATACTTTATGAACCGTAAGAGGAGGGTGGCCTAAGCTTGCACGGTGATACTCGAATAAATGAAACATTTATGATGAAGATTGTGTGGCGATTGATTATAGAGCAGGATATCACTAGGTCTGAGCTGTTAGAGGGAAATATTTGAAGTCGACGAAATGGGGATTACAACATAGAGTGGAATCATGTTTGTCTAACCTATAGAGGGGGGTTTATGTGTGTTGCATTATATTTCGGAGGGAACCATGTGGAATATTAAGAGTTGAATGCAAACGTTGTTTAAGATGGATCGATGGTTGCAGGATGGGCCGCCCTTAGTGACGTTCACAGTTAATCTCCCCAATGAGACAAGAAGTTTGATTGTAGCCAATTTAGTGTTGATTGGAAGCTGGAATATTGAATTCATCCGAGTTTATTCATGAGTAGATCGTCCTATAGTTACCACTTCATCTCATACCTCAAGAAGAGGGACCTGATATCCCAGTTTGGAGGTTTTCTCCTTCGGGTCTTTTCACTTTGCAGATGGCGTACGAGCTTATCAGAGGGTGGGACGAGGAAGACAATTCACACCGAGTTTGGAAGGCAACATGGTGGATTCAAGAGCCTCAGTATGGGTGTTTAAGAAGAAACTAGCGCAGACCACCCAGCTGGTTCACTAGTTGCATCAGTTGTGTGACGAGACAACCTCGACCTTTAATAAGGCGATACACGTAATGGGTGTCGAAAATGAGAGGGTCACAAGTTCGATCAGCTAACATGAACCTCCAAGGAACTATGTGTGCTTAAATACATATGACTTAGTTATATTAGCTCATGGTAGCACGACGACATGGGGAGTAATCCGACAAAATGATGGGAGATTCATTAAGTCATCCTCTATTCATGCACTGATGGATAGGAGTTGGGAGGTTATCATCACCCATGTGTTCCGACAAAACAACT